AGAGAAGAGAAATGCCGCTGCTCCGTTAAGCTCTGGAGCCAGTGTGCATTCAAATGGGTGGAAATGATGCCACAATCTGAATGTTTTGTCACATCTGGACATCTTCGGAAAGCCTAAGTGAAGTGATAAGTCCAGGAGGTAGCATACACCTCGTTGGACTTAACTCATGATATGCCTGCACTTTTTGCAAAGTAGCAACATTTTTGGAGTTTGACTTGAAAGCAATCAAGTTAAAAATAGGCAAATTAAAGATCTATGCAATAAAAGCGCTCTTTCCAGGCCCTACATCTCTGCTGTGTCCTGTAGTGAAGTAGGGGCTGGAGATGCATTTGACACTCCCACAAGTAAAGAATGCCAAAGAATCTTATGGAAGTTGCAGCGCTGGAGCAGAGGAAAGGCAGGAGACACAGGCTGCCAAACAAGTGTATAAAAGCTCTTTCATTGGTATCTTTGATCTCAATTATTTTAAACTCTTTATTTAGGAAAGGGGTATCATCATACACAACTTGTGAATAAAACATACAAAAGTATACAATGAACATCAGTCCAGAGAGACACCTGTATGAGAACTAGTTGACTTAGTGTTGATGCTTGTCGAATAAACCTGAGCTAAGTACAGCAAGGTATCTTACCTAGCGTATTTCTTAGATGGGACTGTGGCAATAATCCTTTTCCATTTTAACATTTTTAATTAACAGATATAATAGAGTGTAAAGAAGGTCAGAGGGAAGAAAGAAAAGCAAAAAAATGAAAAAAAAAAAAAAAAAAAGTAGGGAGATAGTTATGGGAATGTGGGGAAAGGTGGGGGAAGGTAACACTCCAGACCAGCTGTACAGATCACTAATCATTCTCACAAGGCTATCTATAAAGTAACTCTGCACATCAGAACTAAAACAAAAAGCTGCAAGGAAAAGTGAATTAATCACCCCAAATGAATGAATGTGAATATGCTGTAGTAAATTAAATAATAGAAAAAAATTATTCTGAAAAAAAAACCAAAATGTGTACCATATACAGATATACAATACATAAATATCCTAAGAAACCAGTGATTGTAAAAATGATTCTAAACCTTAAATTAAAAAAAATTCAAAACATATTATACTCACCTGTTCCGTGCAATGATTTTGCACAGAGTAGCCCAGATCCTCCTCTTCTGGGGTCCTCCCCCACCAGCATTTCTGACTCCTCCTCTTCAGTGAGTGCCCTATAGGAAGCTGCTTCCTATGAGGGCACTTGTGCAGGCTCGATCCTGAGATGTGCTGCCTGCATCTATAGGTACACACAGAGGGGCTTAACCCTGCCCCAGTCCCTCATCATAGGGTTTGATTGAGAGCAGCAGGAACCAATTGCTCCTGCTGCTATCAATTTGCCCTGCAAGGCGGGATCCAGGACACGGAAGGTTTTCTGCCTTAACGTAGAGAGTGCATTAGTGCTGATTCACACATGTGCGGTGCGGATTGCAGCAACTAATTGATACAGTAGCTGTTCACAGGTTCATGTCAGGTTTACATCAGGTTCAGGACAGGATTAGCTCAGGATCTTATCCTGTTCACACATATGCGGTTTAGAAATGGTTCCCATAGAAATCAGTAGCCTGTAATCTGCACCTGAACTGCACTGCACTGCACTGCTCTGCTCAGAAATTGTACATGACTCTTTTTAAACCCTGAATTAAATCCGCACCGCCTGTGTGCCGGACATATGTAAACAGGCACCATAGGAAGCAATGTTTTTTCACATGTCATGTGGATTGGAAGCTGTTCAAACCACATCCAATCCGCAAATATGTGAATGGGCACTTAAGGTACAAAACCTTAAGGCTTTAGGACCACTTTAACATAAATGAATCCACGATCAATCCATAAATATGTTCAATCCAGTGAAAAAAAAAAGACTTCAATCCAGTGGAAAAGGTGTGTGGTAGTAGACACCTTCACCAAACTCTCCTTTGGGCACACTCTCAAAGGATTTTCGAAAGAAAATGATTACGGAATTCGACCCATGTATGGCCAGCTTTAAGCTTTGAAAAAAAAAAAAAACTGGAAGCTGATTGGTTACTATGCACAGCTGCACCAGATTTTGCACTCTCCAGTTTTAGCAAATCTTCCCCATTGTGTTAAGTTCCTGAAATCTTTTAGCCTGACAAGGTCACTATTAGAGATGAGCGAATCGAACATGGCGAAGTGGAATTCGTTTCGAATATTGGGAAATATTCGATTCGCGCCGAATCCGAAAATTAGCCAACTTCGGATGCACGAATCGAATTTTCCCAAAAATGACGGCAACATGTGTGGCGACGGAGCGGGGATCTCTGGGAAGGCGCGCAGACAAGGCGCGCTGACCCATAATGCATTCATTCATGACATGTGATCGCATTAGCCAATCAGCAGCCAGCCAGCCAGCACTGTGTAATGGTGGAGCTATAAATTGCGGCCATCTTACAATTCTCCATTAGCCTCCGGTCATTCAAGAGAGGCAGACCTGTCTGTATTAGGGACAGAGTTAGGGCCAGAGAGACTTTAGGGCCACAGAATCGTTACTTAGGGAAACAGAATCGTTACTTAGGGACACAGAATCGTTACTCAGGGACACAGAATTGTTACTCAGGGACACAGAATTGTTACTCAGGGACAGACACAGAATTGTTACTCAGGGACACAGAATTTTTACTCAGGGACACAGAATTGTTACTGAGGGACACAGAATTGTTACTGAGGGACACAGAATCGTTACTCAGGGACACAGAATTGTTACTCAGGGACACAGAATTGTTACTCAGGGACAGACACAGAATTGTTACTCAGGGACACAGAATTTTTACTCAGGGACACAGAATTGTTACTGAGGGACACAGAATTGTTACTGAGGGACACAGAATCGTTACTCAGGGACACATAATTGTTACTCAGGGACACATAATTGTTACTCAGGGACACAGAATTGTTACTCAGGGACAGACACAGAATTGTTACTCAGGGACACAGAATTGTTACTCAGGGACACAGAATTGTTACTGAGGGACACAGAATTGTTACTCAGGGACACAGAATTTTTACTCAGGGACACAGAATTGTTACTCAGGGACAGACACAGAATTGTTACTCAGGGACACAGAATTGTTACTCAGGGACACAGAATTGTTACTGAGGGACACAGAATTGTTACTCAGGGACACAGAATTTTTACTCAGGGACACAGAATTGTTACTCAGGGACAGACACAGAATTGTTACTCAGGGACACAGAATTGTTACTCAGGGACACAGAATTGTTACTGAAGGACACAGAATCGTTACTCAGGGACACAGAATTGTTACTCAGGGACACAGAATTGTTACTCAGGGACAGACACAGAATTGTTACTCAGGGACACATAATTGTTACTCAGGGACACAGAATCGTTACTGAGGGACACAGAATTGTTACTGAGGGACACAGAATTGTTACTCAGGGACACAGAATTGTTACTCAGGGACACAGAATTGTTACTCAGGGACAGACACAGAATTGTTACTAAGGGACAGACACAGAATTGTTACTCAGGGACACAGAATTGTTACTGAGGGACACATAATTGTTACTCAGGGACACAGAATTGTTACTGAGGGACACAGAATTGTTACTCAGGGACACAGAATTGTTACTCAGGGACAGACAAAGAATTGTTACTCAGGGACACAGAATTGTTACTCAGGGACACAGAATCGTTACTGAGGGACACAGAATTGTTACTCAGGGACACAGAATTGTTACTCAGGGACACAGAATTGTTACTCAGGGACAGACACAGAATTGTTACTCAGGGACACAGAATTGTTACTCAGGGACACAGAATTGTTACTCAGGGACACAGAATCGTTACTGAGGGACACAGAATTGTTACTCAGGGACACAGAATTGTTACTCAGGGACACATAATTGTTACTCAGGGACACAGAATCGTTACTCAGGGACACAGAATCGTTGAATTAAAGAGTATGTCAGACAACACGCAGAGGAGTGGCAGAGGAGGCAATGTTTCAGGAGCGAGCAGACGTGGCAGCAGAGGAAGGGGTCGAGGCAGCACTAGTCGCAGCCAGAGGCCAGTGCTCCCGGTGTCATCCAGCGGTCGTGTCTCCACCGACAACCCTGCCGCCATCGATTGGTTGGCTCGGTCGTCTTCCTCTTCCCAGGTCACCTCTGACACCTACAGCCAACGGTCGGTGGGTACGTCAGACACAACCGTTAGTTGGCATGGCCCGGGAGCAAGCCCACTGAAATCACGTGTCCTCTACCTGCCCCTGTCCTTTGGTGTTCCCTCACCAAGCGAAGTATCGCATGCTGTGGGCTCAGCCCCACTGTACAGTGAGGAAGAGCTAACAGAGGGCGGTCAGGAACGGGGGGAGACATCCGCCTCTTCAGCAGCCAGGCGAAGAAGTAGTGGCGAGGAGAGTGGCTCGGTAGCCGGTCTAGAGACAGGTCTGTCTCCTGACCCACACGCAGCCGAGGGGGCTAGTAGTGAGGCGGAGACCCTAATTGATGATGATGAGGCTGATCGCACTTGGCAGCCTCGTCGTCATCTGCCAGGCCCGTAATCTGCCATGGGCCCCCGTACCGACTCCTCATGCTGCTGCCAGGTCCAGAGTGTGTCATGGGTCCCTGTACGGCCTCCCATTGCTGCTGTCTCCATCGCCACACTCTGCCATGTGCCACTTTCAGGTCTCCTCACACTGCTGGTGGGTTCCATTTTGTCATAGGGTGCTGGCAGATTACGGGCCTCCCATTGCTGCTGCCAGGCCCGTAATCTGCCATGGGCCCCTGTACCACCTCCTCATGCTGCTGGCAGGTCCAGAGTGTGTCATGGGTCCCTGTACGGCCTCCCATTGCTGCTGTCTCCATCGCCACACTCTGCCATGTGCCACTTTCAGGTCTCCTCACACTGCTGGTGGGTTCCATTTTGTCATAGGGTGCTGGCAGATTACGGGCCTCCCATTGCTGCTGCCAGGCCCGTAATCTGTCATGGGCCCCTGTACCGCCTCCTCATGCTGCTGCCAGGTCCAGAGTGTGTCATGGGTCCCTGTACGGCCTCCCATTGCTGCTGTCTCCATCGCCACACTCTGCCATGTGCCACTTTCAGGTCTCCTCACACTGCTGGTGGGTTCCATTTTGTCATAGGGTGCTGGCAGATTACGGGCCTCCCATTGCTGCTGCCAGGCCCGTAATCTGCCATGGGCCCCCGTACTGACTCCTCATGCTGCTGCCAGGCCCGTAATCTGTCATGGGCCCCTGTACCGCCTCCTCATGCTGCTGCCAGGTCCAGAGTGTGTCATGGGTCCCTGTACGGCCTCCCATTGCTGCTGTCTCCATCGCCACACTCTGCCATGTGCCACTTTCAGGTCTCCTCACACTGCTGGTGGGTTCCATTTTGTCATAGGGTGCTGTATGGCCTCCCATTGCTGCTGCCTCCACTGCCACACTGTGGCTCCACTCTCTGGTTTTGGCCCCGTGACTGCCCAAATGACTGAAGTGTGCGGTGATTCTAAGATCGACGGCACTCATCTGCATGTCATACTGACTGACAGTATTATTTCTCTTCCCCAGCAGACTCCAAGGGCATTTAAATTAAAGGTACAGTGTTCTGCACTAATATAAAGTCTCTCTGAAGTCTAGAAACACCCTTTTTATAAGTTAAATTCGCAGCGAATATATTCGACTCGAATCGAATTTATTCCGCGAATTCGCCGAATCAGCCGAATTGAATTTTTGAATACTTCGCTCATCTCTAGTCACTATAATAACAGAATAAATTGCAACATGATGTGAACAAGTCACATAAATAATAGGGTTTCTATTTATTTATTTATTTCAGGTACCTATATAGCACTGTCAATTTACGCAGCACTTTACATATATATTGTACATTCACATAAGTCCTTAACCCTCAAGGGGCGTACAATCTAAGGTCCCTAACATACATTCATATATACACATACTAGGGCAGATTTAGACTGGATCCAATTAACCTAACAGCATGTCTTTGGAGTGTGGAAGGAAACCGGAGTACCCGGAGGAAACCCACGCAGGCACAGGAAGAAACATGCAAACTCCAGGCAGGTGGTGCGATGGCTGGGATTTGAACCAACAACTCTAGTACTGCCAGGCAGAAGTGCTATCCATTTAGCTCTCTACTTACCAAAAAGCATTTTCATGCAGTAAAATGTATGTAATTATGTATATGATCATGTATTTGTAAAAAAAAAAACCAAAAAACAAAGCGCTTAGACATTCATTTACAGTACACATATTACCTTAACTATAGTGATGAAATTTGCAAAAACCACAAATACATATAATTATAGCAAATGCAGACAAAACTGACATACAGCATTCCTATCTATGATCTATTGAGAGACAATGTATATTTTTGTATGTCTTCATTCTGGGAAATACAGCAATAAAGTCAAAGACACACCTTTTTCAAAGAGATGTTTGTACCTGCTTTATCCTTAACCATGGGTCACAATCCAAAAGAAGTATTGGACTATGATGTATAAAACCCTCAGGAGGAAGAATTCAAAGAAAGCAGTAGAGCGATATCTGGCACATGAAACTACTGCTTTTTATTGCATACATTAGGGTTTTATTGTCCTGTTTTTTTTTAAAACTATAGTGTATTTATGTGTACATGTGTGTTTAACATGTATGTAGAGGTGTCACTGTACCTTTGTTTTTTTATTATTCACAGTTTTATATGATTGCTGTACCATAAAACATTACTAAATGTATATTTAACCACTTGCCTACTGGGCACTTATACCCCCTTCCTTACCAGGCCAATTTTCAGCTTTCAGCGCTGTTGCACTTTGAATGACAATTGCGCGGTCATGCATCACTGTACCCATATGAAAATGTTATCATTTTTTTCAAACAAATAGAGCTTTCTTTTGGTGGAATTTAATTGCCGCTGGGTGTTTTATGTTTTGTGCTATAAACAAAAAAAAGAGCAAAAAATTTGAAAAAAAAAAAAAGTTTTTCTTTGTTTCTATTATAAAATTTTGCAAACAGGTAATTTTTCTCCTTCACTGATGTGCATTGATGAGGCTGTACTGATGGACACTGATTGGCGTCACTTATGGGCATTGATGAGGTGGCACGGATAGGCAGCACTTATGGGCACTGATAGGCAGCACTGATGATGCTGCACTGATAGGCAGCAATGATGGGTACTGAGAGGCGGCACTGATTCGCGGCACTGATGGACAGCACTGATTTTCACTGATGGGCAGCACTGATTGATGGCACTAACTGGCGGCACTGCTGGGCACTGATAGACGGAACTGCTGGGTGATAGGTGGCACTGATGGGGGGCACTGGTGGATATTACTGCTGGGCACAGGTGGGTGGTACTTCTAGGCAATGATGGGTGGCAATGCTGGACACTAGTAGGTGGCACTGCTGGGCACTGATCATCAGGGCACTGTTCATCAGTGCCGATCTGTTCTCTGTCAATTGCTGGTTACCAGCAGTACTTTCCTCACGCTGAGACAGCGAGAGGAAAGTGCAGCTGATAACCGGCAACTGTAATTACCCGGTGATCTGCTGTGTCATTGGACACAGCTGATCACATGGTAAAAGGCTGCTGTGATTGGCCTTTTACCACATCACATGATCAGCTGTGTCCGTACGACACAGCGATCACGAAGATCGCCGGCCGTGCGCCGCTGGGGGCTCGCATTCTGGGAGGATGTCATATGAAGCCCTTCCCGGAATGGACAACTGCGCTGTAGCCGTCATTCGGCTATAGCGCAGTTGCCAAGTGGTTAAACACAACCAGAGTAAGTGCTTGAATTTGATCGGGTATCAGCTTATGGCAATCCTCAGTACAGCAGAGCTTATACTGGAAATAAAGGAAAGCAGAACAGGAAGCCAATCAGCTGTGCAGCAGTGTTCATGAGCTCACAGAGATACTGTATGACCTTGTTAGTGTGCTGCTTCTCTTTTCACTGTCCATTCACAGGCTGGGGGAGGGACAAGACCTGTAGGTGTTACATGACTGCAGCCGGGAAAAATGTAGGCCTTCTGCCCTGACAGTCAGGAATGACTAGACAGAAATACACAACCTCAGTAGGTAAAACACCTTATATGTATTTCTTTTGCATATTCAGCTGCTGACCTGGAGTTTAGACAAGACCTTAGTTTCTCTTTGAACTTTCATTCACAGAAACGCAGTTTGTGTGTGGTCTGTATGACATTTGTAAGACATTAACCACATGCCGCCCAGCCACCGCATATAAACGGTGGCAGGGCGGCGCTCGTAGGCAAAAGCATGTTTTAAACGGCTGCCTTCAAAACAGGTAGGGGGTGCGCGCGAGGCGCGCGCCCGCCCTACCTGTCCCGCGGTTGTGTCAGCAGCGGGTCTCCGCCGCCGGGTCACGGCCAGCTTTTACCGGCCGTTTTCCAGCGATGAGCGGTGATCACTGACAGAGAGCAGGGCTGCATTGTTTACACACAGCCTGCTCTGTGACAGTTCGCCGACAAGCTGCAGAGGGAGAGAAGAGTTTCTCTCCCTCGATCAGCTCCCCCCTCCCTCCCCCCCCCCCCGTCCAGTACACACCCCCGCCCCCTAGTAAAACACTCCCCTTACACAGCAAATGCTAAAAATGTTAACCCCTTCCTCCCCAGTGACATTAGTACAGTTTCAGTGTTTTTTTTTTTCACTGATCACTGTATTGGTGTCACTGGGGATGTCAGTGACCCCAAGTCAGTTTTTCCCCAGTGTCAAAATGTCCGCCGCAGTCCCGCCATAAGTCGCTGGTCGCCGCCATATGTCGCTGATTGCCGCTATATGTCGCTGATCGGCGCCATTATTAGTATAAATAAAAATTAAAAATCCCAGTATCTTTCCCGCTATTTGTAAACGCTATAACTTTCACGTAAACCAATTAATTTACACGTATTGGTTTTTTTTTTTAGCAAAGACATGTCGCAGAATGCATTTTGGCAGAAATTTATGACTAAATTTGATTTTTGCATTTTTTTTTTTACTGGACATGTTTTATAGCAAAAAGTCCAAAATATTGTTTTTTTTTTCCTCAAAATTGTCAGCCTTTATTTTTATAGCGCAAAAAATAAAAACCGCACAGGCGATCAAATACCACCGAAAGAAAGCTCAATTTGTGGGGAAAAAAAAGGATGTAAATTTCATTTATGTACCGTATTGCATGACCGCGCAATTGTCCGTTAAACTAGCACAGCTCTGTATAGCAGAAAAATGGCGTAAATTGCAGTATTTATACCATAGATTGTAGACGCTATAACTTCCACACAAAGCAATCAATATACACTTATTGGGATTTTTTTACCAAAAACATGGAGCAGAATACATTTTGGCCAAAATTTATAACCAACTTTGAGTTTACTATTCATTTTTTATAGCTGAAAGTAAAAAATATTGTTTTTTCTTCAAAATTTTTGGCCTTTTTTTGTTTATAGCGTGAAAAATAAAAAGCGCACAGGTGATCAAATTACACCAAAAGAAAGCTCTATTTGTGTGGAAAAAAGGACGTAAATTTTGTTTGTGTGCAGCATTGCATGACCACGCAATTATCAGTTGAATTAGTGCAGCGCCGAGTAGCAAAAAGAGGCCTGGTCATTAAGGGGGGTAAATCCTCAGGAGCTCAAGTGGTTAAAATGTAGTTAAATGTTCCCAGGAAGACCTCTTTATTAAAATGGCAGTTGTAAAAATGACGTTTCAGATATAAAAATAAAAACGTTATCAGGAAAATTGGAGGCATAGCACTGAAAGGTATTTTGTCCATACTCTGGTACCAGGTGTCAGTGAGCCACTCAAGCATGGTGCTGCTATGTCCATGAATAGTGACAGCGGGGTTGATTAATTCGCCAGTCACACCGCCATGATTTAAAATCGCGTGATTTGTGTGCAATTTTAGCACGATTTCTGAAGTCTTTATTGTTACTTTGTACAGATTTTCAACGATTTGTTGCAATTTGCAGTGCGATTTCCGTTATTTTCTATGAATGTGAAATCGCAATAAAACTGCAGAAAAAGTAATGCAAGAACTACTTTAAAAATCGCGCTGAAGCAAATCGCACATGTTAAGACACTGACATTCACATTCATTAGATACAATTTCAGGTGCGATTTCAATTCACAAATCGCATCTGAAATCGCATCGGTATGACCGGGCACTTACTAAAACTGGAACTTGCAGCTGTGCATAGAAACCAATCAGCTTCCAGGTTTCATTGACAAAATTTAACTGAACAAGCTGATTGTTTACCATGCACAGTTGCACCACCAGTTTTAGTAAACCCCCCCCATTGTGCTGACCCACACAAGCTTAGCACCTTGTACATGCAGGGAATATAAAACAATATTTAATTTACAGAAAAGTAATCTGTAGGTGTACTGTGGTGTTGGCAGTGCAGCGTGGCAGAGCCCCCTGGGGTTTAAAAAACAAACACTGGACTGTGTCATTTAAAACGATTGTAAATAAAAAGTAACCCCAAAAAACAAAAATTTCTATACTTACCTGCTCTTTGCAATGGAATTGCACAGAGTGGCCCCAAACCTCCTCTTCTAGGGTCCCCTGTCGGTGCCCCTGGCTCCTCCTCCCTGTCTATTGCCCCCA